ATTTCTCAACTTTATTGCGCCATCTGCTCTGGGGGCCTGGGACCGTCTGACCACGGACACCTCCCTGAGTCTCCGAGCCTCAGTTTCCCCTGCCGTCAAGTGCATAAGAAGATCAGGTGAGAGTGATCACAGAGCCTGGGTCACCTTCACAGCAGCCACAGGTGTGAGTGCTGCACTGGGGGTAGGTGCAAGGGGGTGCACCGTGCAGGGGTGAATTCTGGCTGCAGGGTAGCAGTGACAATTCAGAAAAAAACTTTAACCCTTTACTCTGACGTGGGTCAAGGACTGAAGCTCAGACCTGCTCAGCCAAGCCCCTGCCTCAAGCTGCCTCCCACATTAGTGTGAGAGTGTGTGTGTGGGTGGCTGGGTGGGTGGTTGTGTGTGTGTGTGCGTGCGCGCGCGTGTGTGTGTTGGTTCGCTTAACGATAAGGATTGCCCACCCTTTTGGCCTTGGGGAGACAGCCAGCCATAGGAGTCCCTTGGAAGAACGGAATGTCCCCTTAGTGACTGGTTGACTACATGATGTCCTTTCTCAGGTTCCTTGGGTGATTGATGAAAGTGCCAGAACTTTGGGAAGAACAGAACAGGGCTTGAGTTTTGCAAACCAGAAATCAGAAACACAACCAAGGAAGGGAGCTTGGCAGGGATGAGGCCACACTCCAGCCACCGGGGCTGGGGTGGCCAGGGCCTGGCAGCTCAGTCACCTTCACATGGGCCTTTGCTTATGCCGTCCCCTGCCTGCAGCGCCGTCCCTCCCCAGGTCAGTCCTGAGGTGCTTCCCTCTCGGGAGCCTGCCTGAGGCCTTCAGGACACTCCCCTCAGAGCTCCCCCAAAGCTATGTCCAGGGCCCCACCAGTGTGGATCAAGGTGGCCAGCCCCAGTGGGCCTGGGAAGGGCTGCTGGTTTCCCCATGAAGCCTCAGCCAGGGGGGCCCTGCTCCCCGCTGGAGGCACACAGAGAGCATGGGGCCCTGCACCGTTACCCGAGCTCCCGGGGCCACAGCCCCTCCATTCTGAACTCCAGGGCTGGGGCCTGTGGACACACCGACTCCCTCAGAGGGTACACACTGTCACCTGCCATTGCCACCGTGTTCTCATCTGCTGCACAGCGGCTCCGTGATGTGCGTCTTCACTCCCAGCTCATCGCATAGACAGACCCTGGTGGGACACCTAGCCACGTGTCACTCCTCTGCCTCCACCTCTACTCTCTTCCCCTCAGCGCCCTACATGCTGACGCTTGTCACACACACCCACATCGATGTCCCCTGTGTGCTGACGTGGCAAGCACCCGATGTCACGCACGCTCTGTACTCTGCTGTGTGTGCAGGTGCCTCTCTGGCTGGCACCAGAATATTTGTGTCCTCACAGATCACAGGCTGACCACCGCCCCCAATGGTGGGGTCAATAAATGACCTGAGAAAGACAAGGTCACACACGCAGAGCTGGACACAACATGAGGGCGCCCAGGCAGGCACCCCTGCAGGACTGAAGGTCACATGGCATTTTAACTTACGTGAAATTCTTTCATTTCCAGTTTTTCAGTTTCTCAAACTTTCCAGAATGGAGGTGATATTGGCAGATTGGGTTACAAAGTTTAAAATAAGTTTAAATGTTCTTTTTTTTTTTTTTCTGGCTTTCGTTGTCAAGAAAATGTTTTCCAGTTTTTTGTGGTTATGGTGTGTGTTTTGTTTTGTTTTCCAGTTTTATTTTGTGGCTTCATCTGCCAGGCAGCTTCCAGAGTTTAAAATTTGGCTAAAATAAATCTCCAGTTCCTTGCAAACACCACCATTTCATGCAGCATGCGGTCTTGAAATCTCTGTGGACTCCCTCTGCAGGCTTCAGTAGCCAGCCAGACGGCCTCGGCGAAGGCAGGGCCCAGAGCCGCTGTGTGCAGCTCGGACTGTGTGTCACTGACATGCCCCAAGAGGTCAGTGAGCCCAGATCTCAGGGCGCTGATCTTTCCAGTGATGCAATAGTTCCCTTATTAGGATACAGGCTCAACAACAGTGGTTTAAACAAGATGTTTTCTCTTGTCCACAGGAAGGTGGTTCAGGGCCGGTGGGACAGCTGCTCCCTGGGGCCATTGGGAGCCCAGGCTCCTTTCCTGCTGCTCCCCCATGTGTCCATGAGAGTGAGCCATTCACTTTTCAAGCATCAGAATTCTGAAGTGAAAAGGGCACCCACCCTCCCTTTAAAGACATAAACTGGACTATACATTCCATTTCCAGTCCAGTCCCACTGGCCAGCACCAGCCTTACTGCCATGCCCAGCTTAAGGGAGGCTGGGGACGGTAACCCTGCCCATAACCGCATCCCTCCACAGTAGCCAGTTGTGGGTAGGGGCCCCGATGGGCTTCCTGGTATCTGCAACCTCCAAGGCTCTTTCTGATCACCTTCGCCTGAGCACAGGGAAGCTGGATGTGTGGGGAGTTAGCAGTCCCCACCCAGGAGCAACCCTCACTCATGTCTGGTGGAAGCTGGGGGACACATAGTCCAGGAGCCATTGTGTGAGCATGATTGGCACCGCATCCCAGGGTCCCCCCGGGGATCAGCACCAAGTACCTACAGAAGCTGCTGCAGGCCGTACTGCACACCGCCAAGATTCATATGCTGGAGCCCAAACCCCCAGCGTGGTGGTCTTTGGAGGTAGGGCCTGTCGGAGGTAATTAGGGTTACATGAGGTCATGAGGGTGGGGACCCTATGATGAGATTAGTGCCCTTATAAGAAGAGATACCAGAGAGCTTGTGCTTGCTCACGAGTGCGCGCTCTCTCTCTCTCCCCCAGACACAGCCAGCCAGGACAACAGCCCTCACCTTGACCTTGGACCTCCAACCTGCAGAACTGTGAGAAAATAAACGTGTAGAGCACCAGCCTGGCATTTTGTCACAGCAGCCCTAGCAAACCCAGATGGTGGCCACCTGCCCCACAGCATCCTCCTCACCAGTCCCTCCCTGGCTTCCCTCCCTACTTCCCATGGGGCTTCCTGGGATCACCTCCCATATACATGACGTGCACCCTCACCCCATGTCTCCAGATCTGGTTCTGGGGAACTCGACCCAGGGCAAGGTATCCACCATAATTTTATTATGGACGTGCTACTTTTATTCTTAAATGACAGGCAATTAGGTTAATCTGGACCCTTTCCTGTCACGATGCCGCAGTGAATGTTTTCGTGCAGCCCTCATCCTGCACGGTGTGAGTGTGACTGTGGAATAAACTGAGAGGTGTCCATGCTCCTCACACTCTGCCTGACAAGCCTCTGCCTTACCATCTGCTGGGATGTGTTCCTGTAGGTGCTCACGCGTGTGGCCCAACGCCAGCCTGGCGGGCCCACTGCATGGCAGGCACACATGCCTATGTTGTTGTCTGGGATGCCACATGGTCATTTTTAATATTTATGGAATAATTTTGAGTAGAGAATACTGCTAAACCATCCTTCTACTCTCAAGCATTTAGTTTCCCGCTTCTCCGTAGGGAATTTTGTCCCCTCCTTTGTAATGTGCGTGCAAACACAGCACAGGCCGGAGCAGTGGTATTTCCTCTCTCCTTTACATGCCTTTAGAAAATCTCCCAGGGGAGGAGTTACTAACTAAAGACCATCCACATCTTATGACTCTGGGTTCGGTTAGCCCGGCAGGTGTGCCCGGCATGCGGGGAGAGCAGGCAGCCGGCAGCCCTCCCACACCGTGCGCTAAATGCTCCAGTACCGCAGCTTCCAGCGCGGAAGTGATCCCAAGGTCCTGTGTAAGCTGTCTGAGGAAGAGGACTGCAGGCCCTCTCTGCAAGAGGCAGATGTTCAGGAGCCCTCTGAGCCGCAGCTCCACTCCTGGGGAAGGGGCAGCGTGCCCCAGGTGACAGGGACAGGAATGCTTGGAACAGCATCGTCAACAATAGCAGAAAATGAAAACGGCTGGCTGTTTAGCTCAGTTGATTAGAGCATGGTGTTAACACCAAGGTCCAGGGTTTGATCCCTGTACCAGCCAGCTGCCAAAAAAAAAAAAAAAAAGGGGAAATACCCAAAGCCTCTATTGGAAAAAGAATGGACAAAGTCGGGGAGGATTATGCAGGGAAGAAGGAACAGACTGTGACTGCCCCCATCGCCCATGGCTCCTGCCATTGAGTGGAAAAAGAAAGTTGCATGGAGTATCACATAATCTTAACCCAAAAAAAAAAAAAAGGGGAAATACCCAAAGCCTCTATTGGAAAAAGAATGGACAAAGTCGGGGAGGATTATGCAGGGAAGAAGGAACAGACTGTGACTGCACCCATCGCCCATGGCTCCTGCCATTGAGCGGAAAAAGAAAGTTGCATGGAGTATCACATAATCTTAACCTAAAAAAAAAAAAAAGCAAACATATATTTTGAAATATTTTTAAAAGGGGTAAGAGGTGCGGTCACCTGGAGGGGGAGGAAGGACGTTGGTGGGCAGGAGGGATTGGTACATGTCCTTGACGGCTGCGCTGTATTGTGAGCACGTTACTGCATGTTGCTCCTATTGAACAGCACGTAGCTTTTAACTCGGAGAAACCCTCCTCGAGGCTCCTACAGTCCCAGTGCACATCAGTCTGGTTCTAACCTCAAGAAGAGCGGGCCCTGGAGACCTCTGCTTCCTGCAGGCTTGAGGGACTGCGGCTGGAAGCTGGGCTCCATCACCAGACGGCCACTGTGAAGCCCCCTGCCGAGCACCCCAGGAGGGATGGCCTGGAGCCCCCCACTGGAGTGCCACATAGGGGCAGTCCTCTGCGCCCTTCCCCGGGCACCTCAGTGGAACTGACCCCAGGCTCTGCCTGCTGCAGGCTGGGAACCACCCCCTTCAATTCCCTAATCACAAGGGTCCTTCTTCCACCTCCTTTCTCGAACAATAGGGCCACCTGTACACCCTGCTACGAGCAGTCCCATGCACCTCTTCCAGGGAGCTGCAATTAGTGCCACGATTTTGTTTGTTCTCCATGGACTCCAAGGTGACTTTCTAGCCCCTCCTTTGTAGAACAGAGCCGGGCTCTAGGAGATGCCCCCAGGCGGCCCTGCTGCCTCACTGGCCAAGGGGTGGTAGACACTGGCATGTAGGGCGGCCAGCGTGCAGACGCCTTGTCTGGGGAAGCGGTGGTTCAGTAACTTGAGTTCCCAAAGGCTGTGTGGTGGGGGTGGAGGCTGGCGGGAGCAGACCAGTGATGTAAAATCCGGAGCCCCAAGCCTAGAGAAGCCACACAGAGCACACCTGACCCTCAGGAGCCCTGCCGGCTGCAGCCAGCACCATGCAGAGAAGGCCGCAGGCCCACGTGTGGGGAGCCCCAACCGAGATCCACTCCCTGCCAGCCTCGTCCTGGCCCCTCCCACACAGAGCACGGGAGACACCACACAGTCGCCCCCACAATGGCTCCTCCAGCCGCCCAGACATCTAAGCCAGAGCCTAGCAGGCTCCTAATGCCACCTGTGCCCCTGCCCCATACGTGGCTGGGGACATGGTCCCAGGTCCTGCCCCTCCACTAAGCAAGTTTTGTTTTAGCACGTGCTGGTAGACGCACCTCTCTAAGCCATGCCAACCTCCTCAGCTGGGACCTCCCCTCCTGCCTCCGCACGCGGGGCCGCCCCTCCACCTCCCCGGCCTGTGCCTGCAGAGGCCTCCCTGCCCGTCTTCCCAGCCGCTGACACAGGTGTGCGTGTGCCACCCTCCTGCTCCACACCTTCAGCGGCTCTGTTACCCCTCAGGTCGATGTAGGCACTTGGCCGCCTCGGTGCCCTCCCCGCCTGTCTCAGCCATCCAGAAGCCAGCCCTCCAGGCCCTCGAGGTGGGGCGACACTGTCCCCGGGCACTTGCGCTGCCTGGAGCGTCTCTGCACGGCCCGGCCTCTCCCCTCAGCCCTCACACTCCTCTCCTTACTCTCCGCCTCTCCTGCCCCCAAAGGTGGCCTCTGTGGACTGCACGGCCCTGCTCCCAACCCTGCAACCCTGGTCAGGCTCCCAGCAGGAGGCACCGCCGGGCACCAGAGGGCGCGATGGAGCGGGGCCCTCTGCCCGCTGCTTTGCTGCTGTTTGCCAGGGGCCGCGCAGCCACAGCCTCCCCCCTGGCTCTGGCGCTCAGGGTCCGGCTCCCGCTGTGGCTGGGCGCTGGGTGCTGCCCCTGCCTCCTGCAGCTCCCCGGCACATTTGCCAGCAGCTGGGTTCACCCTTCACGTCTCTGCTCTGGTGCCGTCCTCCTGCAGGAGCCTCCCCAGACCCTGCCCTCCCTGCCTGGTGTGGGCGGCCTTGGCCTGCCTGCCCCGCCCCAGCACAGATGCACAGGACCCCTGCAGCCACCCGACTCTAGCTGCTCCCATGTTTTGTTTTGTTTTTTTTTTTTGTCTTTTGTCTTTTTCCGTGTCCGGCAACGGATTGCAACCCTCAGTGTCGCCCCCGTACCGGACCAGGACCGGCAACGGGATCGCAACCCTTGGTGTTGCTCCCGCGCCTCGCTCAGCCAGTGAGCGGGAACCGGTCTGTATGTGGGATCCGAACCCTCGGGCGGGAGCGCCGCCGCGCTTCCCAAGCGGCGCACTATCCAGTGCGCCACCGGGCGGCCCCAAGCTGCTCCCATGTTGCACAGGTAGAATCTGAGACACAGGAGCCTCTGACTCTCAGGGCCCAGCCCTGGCAGCTCAGCCCTGCACCTCGGTTCAGAGAGCCGGACAAAAGCCCGGGCTCTGCTGCTCCCTGCAGCCACAGGATGGAGGGGGCACGAGGCCTGGGGGGCAGAGGCCAGGGCCGTGTGTGTGTGTGTGTGTGTGTGTGTGTGTGTGTGTGTGTGACACAGTGTTGACCAGAAGGCGCGGCCAGAGAGAACAGACGCTGCGCTCCGCCCCAGGGCCTGCCCAGGTCATGGCAGTCCTGCAGTCTGAGCAGCGCTCCCACCTGGCCGGTGTGCCCTGGCTGGGGAGTCCCTGTTTCTTTCTGTGCATCTGTTCAGGAGGGAGCTTGTGTGTCCGGGTGTCCATCTTGCTGTGGGCAGATCTTTCCAGGGGTGTCCGCTGTGTCCCTGTGCGCACCCGTGTGGGGGTGGTAAGGGGGGCATGCGCTTGTGTGTGCGTGGTCAGTCAAGGGCTGCCCAGGGCCAGGGTCCTTGCCGGAGCCAGCCTGCACTGGGTCCAGAAACGAGCTAGCTCTCCTTCCATGGTGGCCCCCACATGTGGAGGACGATGGCTGAGCTCCTGCCCCACTCAGGCCTGCGTCCCCCCTGCAGCCCACGCAACAGAGCCCACACCAGGCAGCCAGGGCTCTCCACTGGGGAGGCCCCATGTGCCCTTGCCCGAGGCTGCCTGGCTGTGGTAACAACCCTCGTGCTTTAGCATCTACTTCTCAGCTTGTCCCTCAGCTTTGAAGTGTCACATGCTGGGAGGGCAACATGAACCTCCGTGTGCAGAACGAGGGGATGGAAGGCCGGCAGCACATGCGGCCAGTGGGTGGTGGTGGCCGTTGGGACCCTGGGCCTGCCTTGGGCAGGAGCTCACCCTCGGACCGGGATGGACCTCGTTGGCACCAGCCTCTTCTGCAGGGGCAGCTGTTCCCTCGCTGAGTGGCTCACAACCTCCCAGGACTGCAGGGACTTGGGGTTGGGCTCTGCCAGCCAAGAGAACCTAGAACAGACACTTGGAATGTTGACGTCACCTGCAGCCACCAGCTGCCGGAAGTAGCTCTTACTCACCTGGACATTTCTATCTGCCACACATTCCTCCAGTGCTTTACAAACGTGCACCCATGTATCAACCCATAGCCATGCTGCAAAGCAGGTATTGTGACCCATGCTTTATAGATGAGCAGACAGGCACAGGCAGGTGACGTGGCCTGCCTGGGGCTGGGAAGTGGAGTAGCTGGGATGTGGACCAGCAGCTGGCTCCAGAGCCTCGGCTCCACCACTGTGGCCAAACAGCCTGGCCCAGAGTGCCCAGGCCCCACATGACAGCGCCTGCAGTGTGGTGAGAACATGGGGTGCCAGGCCACGGCATGGCATGTTCAATCTGACCTGCCACAGGCTGCAGCATGGAGGCCACCTTCTCCACATCCACCCTAGCATGGCCACCCAGTGACACTCCCCCCACCCCCGCACCCCTCACCATGGCCCCTATGAGCAGCACCGCTCAGCATCCCGCACCCACCCCTGGGCACACAGCACCTGTTCCCAGGGCAGGCGGGAATCCTGGGGGCATATGGACAGCTCAAGGTGGCAGGACGCCAAGCTGAGCCCCAGAAGATCTGGACACTGCACCCTGTCTCACAGGGGAGGAGGCCAGGCTGCTCTGCGCCTGGTATTGTGGGGGCGGGGGTGGGGGTTCCCTTTCTGCCCACGTGGTAGGTGTTGTTTCCTCTGTGTTTGTTGGCCTATTTTGGCCCATGGCTTTGTCATGTGAAGTGCCCTTTGAGGCTCTGGCCAGCCTCCCATGGGCTCTCTGCCTCTGCTGGTTCCCGAGTCTCCGGGAGCTCTACAAAGGACTGCCACCTGCTCACGCCGATGCCCGCACACCTTTGGGAGGGGCAGGTGTTTGTGACTGTGCTCCTCAGGGGATTCCACTGAGGGGGCCACAGGCCCAGAAGGAAGCAACTGGCCAAGGCTCTGGGATGGCCCACGGGGTCCTGGCAGCTACCCAGTGGCCCCTCAGCTCAGGCTGTAATGGGGGCTCCCTGTGGGTGAGAGACCCCCTCTCAGGTCCAGCCCCCCATAACATGTTCTGCATTTCTGGGTATCCTAGGTTGACCTGGGGAGAGGCAGGGCTTGGCCCCAGGGGTCTGGGCATCTTGTACCTGTATGGAAACTTCTTGGCAAATCTCTCCTGGGTCTTGACCCTATACTTCTTGTGCTGGTGAGACTTTTTGTGGGCCTTCAAGTCCATCTCGGAGGGGGCCAAGCTGCAGCATGCCCCTCCACTGTGGCTGCAAGACAAGAGGAGATGTCAGCGGGGCGGGACAGAGCTTCCTCCCACAGCGCGGCTGCAGCGTGGCAGAGGCTATGGCCCGGCTGCCTCCCGGCCGGAGACCAGCCTGCTGTCACCCCCTGCTACACCACCCGCGTGCCAGCGAGACGCGTCACCCAGCGATTTTCTCATGTGTGCTGCTTCCTGTAACCACCACAATCAGCGGAAGCCCCAGCACAAGGCCACCCCGTGCCATCCTGCACAGCCACGCCGCCCTCTGCCCGTCCCTGAGCCCTGGCAGCCGCTGATCTGCTTGTGTTACTTCAGGAACAACACAGATGGAATCACACGGCGCGCATCTTCCCGGGGCTGGCCACTGCTCGTCGTGGTTTCCTTGAGACGTGCCCAAGGCATTACCGTTGTTCTTCTCTGCTGCTGCGTCATGCTCTGCGGTGCCACTGGACAAGTGTCTAAACAGTTCCCCCCGGGGCCGGCCCGTGGCTCACTGGCGAGCGTGGTGCTGCAACACCAAGTCCAGGGCTAAGGTCCCCTTACCGGTCATCTTTTTTAAAAAATTAAAAAATAATAATAATAAACAACCCCTCATTGAAGGACATTTGGGTAGTCCCCGGTTTGGGCAGCTGGGGGTAAAGCTGCTACTGACGCACACGCAGGCTTCATCTTCCGCACACAGGCTGGAGGTGCAGTTGCCGCCTCACGGGGGAAGGTCATGCTCACATTCAGGAGGGACTACCAGAGGACTTTGCAGTGACCTTCCACTTTGTACACCCCAGCAGTGGATGAGAGATTCTTCTTCACAGCACCCCAGGAGAACGTAGAGTTAAGTCAGGGTGGGAGTGACCGAGGTTAAGATCTGACCGCTGGTGTTTCACTGGCCATCGGATGGCCTGCCCCTTGCCCAACTGCACTTGCTAATGTGTTTTCACTGTCCTCTAAACAGCCATTGTGCTATGCACACATGACCTTGAAGCTTGCTGCGACAGTGCCAACTGCCTGCCGGCACCCAGGCTCCACATTTGGTCCCTGAGCTGACACCTGGCTACGACACCAGGTCCCTGTGGCCAAGCCTGGGTGGGAGCCAGGTGGTGGCCCTTCTGTCTGGAGCAGCACCATCCAGGACAACTTCCTGAGATAATGAATGTCCATCTACATCTCTGCTGTCCAATGTGTTCACACGTGGCTGCTGGCTAATGTGACTGAGGAACCGAACTTTTTATTTTCAAATTTTATTTAATTCTGATAAACTTAAACTGCTAGCTGCATGCAATGCTAACTGCACTGGACAGCACAGCTCTGGCCATTGGAATGGAGGAAGCCGGCTGCTCCCAGGGGCAGTCCCAGCTCAGGGCCTGGACTCAGTAGGCATTTTGGCCTAAGGCCCTGGCTCCCATCCGCACTCTCGGGAAGCCAGCCCTTTCTCTGGTCAAAGTGATCCTGGTGCATATCCCCTGGCTGCTGGGTTCTTAGCTTCCTCGAGCTGAAGCCCCGCTTACAACACTGATTGGAGCAGCCTGCAGTGCAGAGGAGACGGGTGCCTTTGGGGGCTGTCGTGGGCAGGGCTAGGACAGCGCAGTCACAGGAAAGCTCAGTGGTGAGGCCCCTTAGCATGGCCAGCACCCACTCCCTGCCTCTGCTCCAGTGTGGGAAGCTTCCCGGGGTGGGCGCTTTAGGGCCACCCTGGTCTTATCAAATACACACTCGCCAGCCTCCCCTGCTCTGTCACTCTGCCGCTCCAGCTTTGTCGCTGTAGCCTCCCAGTCCCCCCCGCCCTGCCCATCTGGAGGCTTTTTGGTGGGCAGTGCCAGGCACAGTTTGCTTTGCAGGAGCTGGGACCAGGATGCTGAACCCTGAGCTCAGGCTGGGATATGGCTACGAGGAATGCCTGCCTCCTCCAATAGCTGGTGGGCGGCATCAGGAGAGCACAGCTCACAGGCCTGCCCAGCCCTACTGGAGCACGGCACCCTCACACGCACAGTCATGCACACGGACTCTCACAGGCTCACACTCACATGCGGCCATGCACACAAACACTCACACACTGACATGCAGAGTCACACGCAGACACGCTCTCACTCTCTCGCACACACAGGCAGGTGTCCCTCTGGACATGGCGTGGCTGCTGTACCTCACACGCTCTGCAGACAGCAATGAGCCGTCCTTTTCCGTCCTGCGTCCTCCCTAGCTGACCTGGGGCTCGGGCCCACTTCCTTGGTCCAAGGCTGAAGCTGCTCCTCTCATTCCCAGAATGCACCTCTTGCCCCTTTTCTATTCAAAGCAGCTGGTTTTGCATAATAACAC